TGGTTTGACTCGTGTTCGGTGCTTCGTCCGGCATTTTCTGTCGTGTCGTTAAACTTCTCACGTGAATTTCACGAGCCCACTTCCGTTTACCGCTTGTGCTTGTTTAGCTGGATCCCATCCTCGTCGCCAGTTGTTGTGTATTCGCAAATACGGAGGACAAATAACACCAACACTCTATTAGCCCTAGCAGTAATTTTATCTATATGTTGATTCCATGAGAGATCACCGGCAGTAAACAGTCCAAAATCTTTGTGCACATTGACACTTTCTAAGGGTCGACCTTCAATAAAATATTCCCCAACTAAAGGTGATTTTTTCCTGGTTATGTGCATGATCTTACATTTCTTAGTGTTCATTATCATCTTATTCCTCTTACACCATTCTGATATTTTATCTATGTCACTCTGAAAATTAGACAGATCTTCTTGAGTATTAATAACCTGTACATTTTACTGTCATCAGCATAAAAAGCGATTGAACTGCCCTTACTAATTACCCCAGGTAAATCATTGATATACACTATGAAAAATAAAGGTCCCAACAAAGAACCTTGTGGGACACCAGAGGTTACAGGTAGCCAATCAGAAGCCTCTCCTTTCACTACTACACGCTGTTGACGATCTGTTAACATGATAATCTCTGCACCAATCAAGCAATACTCCGCGAACACCATATTTATAAAGTTTGGTCAAGAGAATGTCATGACAGACAAGATCAAAAGCCTTTGAAAAGTCAATAAATACTACATCGACCTGGCCACTCCTATCCAAGGCCTTGAACCAGTCATGATGTACCAAGAGTAGTTGGGTAGTGCAAGAGCGACCAGTGAGGAACCCATGATGAGAGTCGTGTATAAAACTGATAACTTGATTATAAATAGCATGGTACACTATTCTCTCCTGGAATTTTCCAATTATAGTCAAGAGTGAGATGCCTCTATAATTTTCTACTGGCTCTCAATCACCATTCTTATGTATAGGTGTGATATTTGCTGATTTCCATAATTTAGGTAGGCGTCCCTGATTGAATGATAAATTGAACAGTGCACTCAGGGGAATTGCAGATGTGACAG